GCAATATAGTTCTTACTCGATAGTGAGACCATAGCATCACCTGACCATTCATCTTTGAACAAACCAGGCGTACGGCGATCAAACTTAGCTACCTCAGTGTTGTAGTCACGTGGGAACAAATCGTATTTATGCTCCTTGAAGTAGGTTCGTAGCTCAGGCTTAATACAGTCTTGAAATGGATTATCACAGCTGAAAGCGATATAAGCCGAATCAGTGTCCTTCTCCTGATACTGGAAGTCAGAGCGATCGAAGTAGAAATTTATGCTGTCATAGTAAAACTGAAGCATGCGTAGCTTAGCAAGCTGATAGATAGCAATCGACAAATGGATTGGGTTCTTATTATTGAGTCGGCGCTTCTTCATCGTGATCTCACACGCATCATTAAGCTCCTCGAGACCATGGAACGTAAAGTGTTCGATCTTGTTCTTAATAGCTTTGTCACTCGACTCATACTCAACCTCTTTGTGCTTGCTCATATCCATGCCAGATCGACCAAAAGCACTGTTGCCTACCAGCTTCACCATCTCGGCAATCATAGCCTTCGACTTATCAACATCACCCTCTCGCCGGGCGTTTGATACAGCCTTCATAAATGGAGCAAAAGCTTTATGGGAGCTCGCTTTTATGAAGCTGTAAGTCTTGGTGATCTCCAAACCATGAGAGAGATACCACTTCAGCAAAGGTGCGTATATGGGAATCTTTTCACCAAAGTAGCTACCAATCAACTTGCGAGCTGGTTTTGCTCGGCTTTGCTTGCGCGCCTCATTGTGTTCGAACATGTGCTTACCAATGACGCTCTCATTCGTACAGTCGATCAGTACATTCTTGAAAATTGGAGTCATCTCACCAAAGTACTGTTTAAAGTATTCTGGTGTTCGGATATCACATTCAAGAAAGCCGAATACTTTGTATGCTTTGATGTCATCGATGATACCATCATACGCTTCAACCGTAGTCAATCGACCGCATGGCATCTCATTACCAAGGGCCCATATATATAGAGCGTTAGCGTCGTATCCGATAATTTCTTTGCAGATCTTACCTCCATGAATCTTCGTCTCGTTTCGCTTAGCATACCTGTTGAATATAATTGATGGTCCACCAGCAATGTTAGCTTTCATTTTCCCGTAAATCTCAGATTCCTCCTTGTCAATCGAAAACATCAATCTGTCTGCGTTAAAATCAAGCAGTTTCTTTTATCTGAACCCCCTACGAGACATATCTTTTCGAGCGGTGTTGCATGAAATGCAGCTGATCAAGATATTCCCATCAGTGTGCCCAAGATTGTTATTGATTCTATCAGCGGAAGCGGTATCAGCAGTCAGCTGACAATAGCATAGACCACACAGATACTTTTGCTTTTGCAGCAATGTATTCACGTGCTCGAGCGTCATACCAAATTTTCGTTTTACCTTAGCAACCTGACTCCTGTAGCCAGCCATGCGCTTCGCTGGAAATCGGAATGCGTTAGCAGGTTTCTTATCCGGATATTGGAGATTATTGAAGCAGGTCTGTACATAACCTTCTCTGAAAGACCAGGTAGGGACACTCCATCCGCAAACATATCCAGATCGAAGCGCTTAAATAGCTCTCGCTGAGCCTTGATAGCTTTGGTGAAAGGGACTACGTCGAGATTAGTTCTCTTGACATGGCCAGTGGTTTCTGGGTGGTGA